GATCTAAAGCATCATTTTCATTGAATATAAATAATTTTTACGAAAACGAAATCGAAATTTTACGATAAAATTCCATTAAGTAATACAAACGAGATAATTGAGTGGGAAAAGTTTTATAATAATTCGATAATACCATTCGATTCAAACATTTTAGACATACAATTCATTTCATATCATTTGGTTCATTTACTTAACTTATCTCTATCAACCGCACTCGCTTTCATCGACTACAATCCAATTACATTTACACTTAACAATTCAAAGTTATTAAAAATTTCATGGACAATTTCAATTTCCTAATTTCATAGCAAAATATCGTTTACAAAATATAGTAATTGAACAACTCATTTTAAATCAGAAAAAAACAATACATATCCAAATATTTTTTTTTTATTTTTTTTTATTTATTTTTTTTTTTTTTTTTTTTTTTCTACGTAACATTTTATCGACGACATAAAGTATTAAAAAACACTTATTATTTTTGTAAGTAACGTTAGATCTAGCAATGAATACTTATCAACAGAAATGTGTTATACGCGTGTATCGTTTGCGAGCATACCAGGCCGTACATTATAAGATTACATATTTTTTTTTATTTCTCTCAAAATTATAAGTATTTTGATTATGCGTTTCGCTTGCTTCGAAAGAGAAAAGTTTCCGTAAATAGATAAATAGATAAATATGGCCAGAAATATCTCGATATCGTAATATTTTGAGAATAAACGTTGTAACGTTGTTAAAGCAAATAATAAAATAATAAGAAGGTAGGAAAACACATTCCAAGCTCCAATTTATATTTAACATCGACTCACCTCAATTGTAATGTAAACCGTTACCATTATGTAATGCTGTTAGTAATAAAAACATACTTGAAGCGCCAAACTATTTTGTGCATCCTTTCCAATAGGATTATATAAGACTACCGTAGATTTTAGTCAGAAGTTAAAAATACATGTATTTACAGTTAAAACAACTTGTAAAATAGTATAAATACTACGATGTATTTACTTTACACATACATTCCCTCTTAAGCTTTATGCTTTACGAGAGCTCGAGCATTGTGATACTACACCATTGTACTCTGCAACATTAATCCTATAAATCCGTTATAATTCCAAAAGGTTCTCTAGATCCTGTGGAATAGTATTATATAATCCTATTAGAAAGGATAGACAATTTAAAAAATATAATATGAAATAACTCGGTCAATTTAGTAGATACCAAGATGCGTACCGACATCTCAATTAGATAATGTAATAACAAATTAATTACCTGTTATCGCGATTGATGTAAGCTGCATGAATTATTACAAAATACACCGGTAATAATTATATGAAACGATGAGGGTAAAAAGTATAAAAATATATTAATTATTATAATTATCAAATTATAATTATCATCGAGTACATCATACGTCATTGTTGATTTTATAAATGATTAATTCTTATATAAAGTAATTACAATATTCGTTTTATCGTTTCTTAATTAAAAAAAAAAGAATAAAATTTTTATTATAGCTTATTTATACATCATTCAATTATTAAATACGTTGTTACGTATAAAGATATTTACAATACCTTACAATATCTTTTTAATAACGCACTTGAACTGCTCAAATCATTTCGATATTGCAATACGCTCGCAATAAAATCTGTGAGTGCAATATCTCTTGCTAAATATTTAATTCCATAAGTGCGACTTGCAAATTCACCGCCGCTCCTTTCATTTAATTTGCGCGTAAATAAGAAATTTGTTATTGACATATTTTTATTTACACAATAATGAAGACACCCGGTAGGAATTTTTATCTTCATTACTTCTTCGATAAAATTTTAGGAATTCCACCACCCCTCGACGGTCAATGCGTGGTAATTGAAAATTTACTATTTTTAAAAGAAATTTTACTACATTTCTTATTAATCGTATTTGTCCCTGAATAATGAACACGACGCCTACGGCAAGCACATTCCGTGGTGGAATTAGATCTAAGAATGACAATTGACCTGCACATTCCATTAGCGCAAAGGAGAATTTTTAAGTTACACCGTGTCGTTGACTTGAAGAGTTTCAAAAAAAAAAAAAAAAAAAAAAAAAATTTTTTTTTTTACATCTTTTCTTACATCTTCATCAAAGAATCCTCTTTAAACTATCCGACATAAAATTATTTCAAAGCATGACTACCTCGACATGCACAATCGACATGCTCAGGTATAGTGATGATTCCACGTAATCCCAATCGTATATGAAGCTACATTACCCATCTAAGAAGAGGTGGGGGGGGGGGGGGGGGGAAGAAGATTGAAAAAAAAATGATCAAGAATAATTCTCCTCACAAAATTAAGCCGATCTGTCGGCTTAGTCGTAGAAATATCCCGCGACTAACACCTCGGATGCACCTTGCATTATGTGTGCACTGCCCGACGACAGCGACGACGAGTCTTTGCGCAATAAAAAGGAGATAGACACAAAGGCGAAGCGAGAAGTCACACGGATGCACTTTGCCGTAGCTAAGAAATGCCGGTCTTGTTTCTTTGTTGGGAAAGTGGGCTCGTAGTGGGCGGGTGGCTCGTCAAGAGAGACAAATTCAATGGACTCGGGCTTTTTCCTGCACTCATTCACCCTCACCTGCGACAAACGATCGTGAGAAAAGCTGAGCCAATAGACTTTTGCCGGCCAGGGTTGACTTATGTGACCCTTGAGAGGCAGGCGAATGAAATCCAAGACGTTTAGCAAGACGAGAGAGCTTGCTTTCTCCTTTTCCTTTCATTAATGTCCATTCGGAGAAATTTGGACGGATCAGAATTTTTTAAACGCGATTCCGATGTCCTTTTTCTATTCGTCTTCTTCTTATTCTTCCTTTTATTCTTTCTTTAAATGGGGCTACGAAATATTCAGTTCAGAGCTTTAATTTAATGCCCCGTTAACTAACCGAGGTTAGAGGTTACCGTAATTACTTGATTAAACATTTATTAAATTTATATTACAATGGTATTTTCCCATGGGATTTTGAAAAACTCATTATCGATTGACGATATAATTCTGTGATTCAATTATCTTACACTAGTGTTCGATAATATTCGAAAATCATTGTAATAAGATCGTTTCACCTTCGTATTCAATTATAACGATCGTTAATTCCACTTGTTAATTCCAATTATAAACAATATTTTTTTTACATAAAAACTAACTATATAATGAGTATGCATTAAACATTATCGATAAATTATCTTAATTAGCTTTGTTCTCTTTTAAGATAATCATTAATTATTCGCTGTGTCGATAATATTCCTCTTATTTCTAAATAAAAATTCTATGAAGCAAAAAGAAAAAAATTTAAGATTTCAGATGATATTTAAAATTTTTAGTTCTATTAAATTATTCTATTAATATTGTATTAAATTTCTCGTATCAAAAGAAAAGTTAGGAAGCTACTGGTATTTAATCTGATCTAGAGGAACGAATGTCGAAACAAAAGATATGAGAATATTAATCGGCATAATATTCAGCCGAGTTTCCCGTAGAGTCTTGGTTTGTTTTTACCCTCGAAAACTTCAAAGAACGCAAAGCCGAAGCTCTGCGTCCTCGACATTGGTAGGCTCAAACGAAAGGCAGCAAACCGGGAGTTTCAAAGTTCCAACAAAGGCACTAATACATATAGCACCTGTTGTTTCGTAATCGATCCTCATCTGCCTGAGGTTGCGGCTTCTGACTTAGCACGAACCAAACAATACCACCCAATTTGCCGTGCAACTAGATTATACAAATTTTTATTGATCTGTCCGTTAAGCGATTCTATATGCTTTGTTGATGTATAATTTATCGTATTTTCCATTCCTTTCATTCCTTTTCCCACTAGCTTTATTTTTATTAAACAATAATTTCATTTCATAATTAAACCGACATGGATCATTTTCAAGGCTTATTGATATTTACTTTATTGCTACTTTTCACAATTTCATGCACCACTTTATCTCATCGTTTTTATAGAAAAAAGAGCATTGTAATGATTCGAGAAGAATGCGATAGATTATTTTTTTCTCTCCCCCCCCCCCCCCCG